GTCCGTGGGATTCGAACTCTAGACCTGCCACTTGGGGGTGCAGCAACCCCACCACTTCACTAGGTCGCCACACCCATTAAAACTTAAAATCTTCTTGGGCTTCTTTGCCAAATATCATATGCTTTCTCAAAATTAAAATCCTCTAGTTTTGGCCTATTCATAACTATTATAATATGAGAATTAAGCATTTTAATTTTCATCTGATTACAGATTTTTGTTTTTATAAGATTTTGTTGTGAAAAAATCTTTTCAACATAACCATTTGAAAGTGGAATAATTAAAGAAAAAAAAACAATTTCAGCTACATTTGGATAGAGTATAGCAAATTGAGAGCTATCAAAAATTCATCTCCATCCTTCAACAAAACCTAACTCTTTATAATTTTTCAAAACTAATTTTGTTTCACGCCATACTTTAAGAAGTTCGATTCTATTTACTTTTGCTAGAAAATGTATATCATCATATTGCTTAAATTTTCCATAAAAATTGCCTAAAAGTAGAATTTCATTTTCTCCAAATGTTACCATTTCTCAAGGACTTGTTGAAATTTGTGAAAAATCAAAAATTCGCATAGCATTATAAATACCAATATTAGGAAATCTTTGATGAAGGTTTTTAATAAATGATAATGCGAATTCTTTAAATATTGAAGGTAATTCATCATATTCAATAGTATCGCATATATATTCTCGTAAAAAGTATCCACAAGTTGGTGCAATATCATCATCTTCATATCCAATAAATTCTAATGTAATTGATTCAATTGCTATATTTAATTGCATATATATATCAGATAATGCAACATAATCTGATTGAAATATCTTTGTTAGCTTACTAATTATTGAAAGAAGATCAGCAAGATATTTAGTTGCTAATATAAATTCTGAATCAATATTATCATATAAAGCTTTTGCTTGTTGTCTAGTTTTTGCACAGAAATCATTTAAAGCTTCATCATAAAGTGCATCTTTTATAGAAAAGATAATTTGATGTAAATTAGAAACTGCATTAGAAAGTGATAGCCATCGAGTACTAACAACGCATAATATAGATAATTGAGAATCTTCATTATCTAATGATTGAAATAATTTAAGATACTTCCATTTTTGATGTGATGTTGCAAAGTATGCATAAATTTCTTTTAATGTAAATTCATAACCTTTAAAATATGAAACTTCTTCAGCTAAATCTTTACCAACTAAATTTAATCTATGTGCTATACAATGACAATTTGTTATAAATGAATTAATTTCTTTTAATTGGGTAGCTACACCAGTTTTATTTCCTATACAGTATATAAATTATTAAAGTAGTAATAAAATAAATAAACAAATAAATAATTATAGATAACAAATTTATACATACCAATCATAACACTAGCACCGTTACTACCAAAATGCATTAATTTTTGAGTATCAAGCATTTTAGCAATTAAAAAATTTTTTAAATTATTTACTATAGCCTCTGTATTTGTTTCATCTAGTTCAATTAATCCTAAATACCGAAGTACTGGTATGTTTTCTACAATATGTTTGCTAACAATAGCATATAAGTATTGGTATATTTTCTACAATATGTTTGCTAACAATAGCATATGTTTTATCATGTGTTATTGTATTACTCTCATCAATTAATATACATCATAATGGAGATTTTCAAACTTCAGCTAAAATATCTTCTTCAATTACTACTGCAATAGCATGTAAAAACTCAGCTCCTGCTTTTGGATTATCATATGTTGCATAATTTGATAACTGGTTATTTAAAAATAGTTCAGATGCAATATTTAAAAAAATTCTCTTAGGACCAAAGATAGGAGATGCAATGGTAATTGGAGGTTTGTCATATACTAATTTGATTTGATTTTGAACTTGTAAATTGGTTAGTTCTATTAAATCTGGAAATGCTTCAACTGCAAGATGCCTTTTTGTATATAGATATACACAACGCATTTTAGCAATTATATTTAATTTATTAACTCCAGCTTGTACTGTAAAACTACTCATTAAATCTAGCTGATCAGATTGTTGACATTGTGTAAATTTCTTAACAGCTTTTTGATATTCTTTAATTTCAATATGTTTATCTAAATAATCTTTTTTAAATTTTTTTGTACCTACAACAAAGATACTAGTAGAATGCCTATTGTATTCAGTATACCAAATATAGTATAATTCTGGCATGCCTTGGTTATCAATTTGACGATCAAGCCATGGATACTTCTTAATCCATCTTGGATCCCAATTGGATCGTGTATGTGTTTTATTATCATTTTTTTTAGATGATTTAGGATTATTATTTGCATTTAGTTCATAAGGCTCAGTTGAAAAAAAATATTTATCGAGTGTATTTGAAGAATTGCTCATTATAACAAGACAGTTTAAATCTAACTTATTGTCAGTATAAAATAACTCTTAAATTTAACAAGAATTCTTATTTTTATATTTAAAATTATCTATCATACTTGTTTTGATAAAAATATATGATTGCTATTTTATTTTCATCAGTATAATTATGCGTGGCATTATTGAATTAATAATAAATATTATATGATTTAAAATGCTATTCTTTAAATAGATTGTAATTAAAATCACAAAGCCCATAATAATAACTATCACTATTGTTAATCAGTTTTATTAATATGATTTAAATACTATCTCTTAAATAGATCGTAATTGAAATCATAATAATAACTATTGTTATCACAGTGCATTTAAAGAACAAATAAATATAGTTTAATTTTACAAATTATAATAATAATATTCCTACTCTAAATTTTAGAAGTTGATATCGATATTTGTAAAAAATTAAAACTTATTATATACTAGGAACGGTGTAATATGCAGTATATGGTTACTATAGCAAGTTAAGTAAAGCATGTTTGCAAAATCCTAAATCTATTGAATAACACTTAAAATGTAGCAAAAACATGGTTAAACTTTATATAATGTATCACACAACCCTGATTTCTAAATTTGCATATTGTACAGGTTTTATCTTAATTGGCATCCACAGTTATCAAGTTCGGTCTGGGTCATTGTTAAGATTAGTTAGAACTGATTCAACAACTTGTTAAGGTAACTACATATGTATATATATACATACATAATATAAATTACCCTTAAACTAGTATTATAAAATTGGCATTCCGGCTTGAGAATCATTAGTACTCCAATTGGTAAGTTTTAAAAATCAAGATTAGTAAGTAATTAATAATGATAAATATGTATTATGCAAATACTCAAGATGAATTTATACATATATTCCAAACAGCTATTTAAACTAATATGTTCGGGTAAACATAATTCATATTTATGTGTATAACTGGTTTTAAAGCAGAGTTTGAAACCTAGTTTTTGTGTGTGCTTCAGAACAGTGTTCGTTCAGGTTTTGAAGCACGAACTAACCAATTTAAGCAGGATCATATATAGATACAGACTTTTGATATCTTAGTTATGTTCTATATAAATATCAGTTTATAAGATAAAGCACAATTGAGATATAACTAGTGATATAAATAAGTTTGTATCTATATGCATAATAATTTTAATATATTGGCTAATATCAATATATAAATAATAAAAACTGATTAACAGATAATCATAATGGGTATTAAAAAAATTAACCTTAAAATAGACTGTATTCATCAGTTAAAATTATTAGAAGCCAATATTATCAACTAAACTCTGTATATTATTAATCTGGTATTAATCCAGTATTATAAAACCTGCAAGTAAATTAAATTTTTTACTTGTAGAATACATATTATTTGAAAATAATATGTGGGAATTTGTAGAAATTTGAAAAATTTATCTGCAGATTCCGCATATATATAATAAGTTTTATTTGCAAAACTTTAAAATATGTTGTGGTCCGCAGATTCCACAACCCAATTTCAGACACTGATCCAAACCATTACACATCTACAAGAAAACGTCTATATCAATTACAAAGAACTTTGGATCTTATCACAAGATATGTCCAAAGTATACAATACAGTCTACATTCCTCTTCTTCAACAAGCCCTAATTCGTATTGGAGCATCTTAACAATTTATCAACCTGATATCCAACATTCTACTTAATTGTCACAATCAAGTCATCACCTCTCTTGGAAAAACACGGGCTTACAAAGTCGAAGATGGCATCGACCAAGAAGAAACTATCTCCCCTATTTTGTGGTACATCTTCTACAACCCTCTAATACAATGCATCTTAACCAAACTTCCTGGCTATATACTAACTACAAAATCTCATAAACCTAACTTAACTCTATCAGCTTCAACATCTGTTATTGCCTACATGTATGACACAATATGGATTTCATCAAATCATGCCAACTTATAACAAATACTTATAACTGCATCATCCTTCTACCAAATGGCAAAAATCATGGTCAACCCCTACAAATCTATACTATTCCATAATAATCATGAAGATACAATACCTATCATCTTCCAAGGCCAACCAATTTACAACCTACCACCCAAACAATTCTTTAGATTCCTAGGCATCTTTATTGATTATACTATCGACAACAGATATGCCTTAAAGAAAATCAAACAAGACTTACTCAGGAACTAAACAAACTCTGATATGCCAAAATCACAGAGAAGCAAGCGATTTATATAATTAATTCGGTTCTAATAGCAAGACTAAGATATTGAATATCCAACAACTACCTTATACCCACTAATTATCAATATATAGCACAGTGCTGTACTAATATTGTAAAACAAAAAGCCTTATTTGCCTAAAGTATGCCAAACTTAATCCTTTT